TTCGCTTTGTGTTTTGTTACATGGAATTCATCGGAAGTATCGTGATAATGTTGAACAGATCCTGAGGAAAACTGCACGAAATTTCCGGCTATGTCTTCCTTGACTAATTCCTAGTGTTTCCCCCTCATAATCACAACATTAGCTTTATGCCTTAACTCGTGTGGCATCGACTATTAGTTTCGAAACGGCAGTTGAGTTATTTGTGATTCATCTCTCTGCAGTTAAAGCAGCCTTTGTATCATATGTCAAGCTTTTATACCATGCAGTGTTTCCTTTCGTCATAATAAATTTTCTTAGCTAGGACATCAGATTTCATTGGTTTGATGGAATTTCCTTACATTTCTCAAAATTCATCTAACGTTCCATTTATGTTGTTTGCAAGGCCGAGGCTGACGTCATATGTCTTTTGTTGCACCATAAAATCAACTAAATTTCCAGTTTTGCGAGAAAAAAATGAAAACACTGATAACATGGTTCGCTAAACACTCGATTGTCAAAGCGGTCGGGGTGGGCACGGGGGAATGTATCAAGTGTTCCTCGCGTTGATTGGTTACTTGAGATGGGCGTGTCTCACTACGCAGACCTTCCTGATCAGAGTGTCTGTTTGCTGCGAAATTCGAGGCATATTGGATATTAACCCCGTGAAAGTTGGCGTTAATTTCCGAGTGTTTCAGTAGACGTGTTCATCATTTCCCATTTCGCTGTCTAAATCATAATTAGGCAAATTTGTATTGCGAACATAAATATCATTTCGAAAAATAAATATACAGACTATCTGTAATACTGGAACTTTTATTCACGATTTTACTTCCTTTTGAGGAGTTCGGGAATACGGACTACATTGCAAGAAAAACTTTACAGAAACTATAATGCTGCTAGGTGAACAAGACAGTGTCATATTTGAGTTATAAAGACAACACAGCAAGGAAGATGAGCAAAGTCTTTCGACAACCTTAACTGTAGTATTCTTGGATGCTTGCTTCACGTTTACAATACATGTTGTCTTCTGAGAGTTAACTTTATTTGAGATGTGCGCAAGAACAAAATACAATCAATCAACTGTTGCTCGACTTGATTTCATCGAATAATTGAGATTTGTTTTCCATCGGTCAAAATGGTGAGTCCTCGCCTTTATTTATTTAATTACAAACATGTGCATATATATATATATATATATATATATATATATATGTATGTATTTATGTATGTTGTATATATATCAGTGGTGGGTCCAGGTGGGGGCCGAATCGGCCAGCCCATCCCCCCCCCCCCCCCCTCCACTGGGAGAGAGAGAGAGAGAGCAACGAGAAAGAATCGCTACCCTGAATACGAAATAAGAACCAGGGAGGATGTTGTCGTTAGTAGAACAATACAAAAAACAGTTTTATTTTAATAAAAAAATTAGAGATGAAATGATAGGGGCTGTGTAAATATCGAGGAGAAAATCACTACTGCTATCGCTCGTGACGTGACGACTATCTCAAAGATTCTGAAGTCCTAACACTCGAGAGCGTCCGGGGGCTCCGTCCTTTGTTCCTCCGGCAGGGGAACTCCCCCTGCACCCCATCCGCAAAGATAAAAGTGATTCCCCAGACAACCCTTTGTTGTAAATTTGTCCATATTAGAGAGTGAATGTCTTTCTGTCGCTCAAGACGGCCATTTTGAAGGTTCAGAAATGCTAAAACTCGAGAACGCCTGGGGCTCTGCACCACAACTGGAGCCTTAGGGCGGGCCCTTGGTCCCGACCCCATCCAGAAAGGCTAGCGCTAACGTGCAAACGTTGGTTCCTCCCCCCTCCGAAATCCTAGATCCGCCGCGCGAATTTTTTTTCCGTACTCGAGAGAGCAAAAATCCCATGTGCGCATGCGCGTGGACTTATGATTTCTCTGCTACTTCCCATACGAAATGTACATGTATTCGCATGTACTGTGCACGATTCGCGTTCTACGAGTAAACGATGGCATAGTAGTCTTCAAACACAGACTCTGATTTGCCAGTTTGACAAATCAATATGCGTATGTGTCGCGATGTGCTTATTCAAGTCTGTGTAGTTGTATGATTCAGACCCAGTAGTGCATATGGAAATACATTGCAACTTGTATAGAATGGTATAGTAGTCTGCAAGCACAGACGCTAATCTGACAGTTTGACAACATACTAGTAGTGTGCTGAGAAGTACTTTATTCAAGTCGCCAACTTGTATAGAATGGTATAGTAGTCTGCAAGCACAGACGCTAATCTGACAGTTTGACAACATACTAGTAGTGTGCTGAGAAGTACTTTATTCAAGTCTGCGTAGATGTATGATTCAGACCCTACTGGTGCGTGCGTTAGAAATGCATCTCAATGTGTAGAGTGTAGTATAGTAGTCTGCAAGGACATAATAATATATTGTGTATTGATGAGTAGTGATTTTATGCAAGTTTGGTGTGTGGGTTTATCATATATAGGCCTACTATCGTTTGTTCAGAGCCAGAAGGGCATTCGTTGTGTTAAGAGTTAACATCCTTCTGGCTCTCAGCAGACCATGATTATAAATAAAAGTAATACAGAGAGTGCGAGCATACTGGAGGGAGAGCTAGAGAGAGAGAAAGAGAGAGAGAGAGAGAGAGAGAGTGAGAGAGCAGTGGCACAACACAGAAAACTACGAAAACTTGAATAAAAGCACTACTCAATACACAATAGGCCTATATTATTCTGTCAAACTGTCAAAGGAGAGTCTGTGCTTGCATACTACTATGCCACTCTATAAGTTGAGGTGCATTTCCAATACACGCACCAGTAGGGTCTGAATCATAAAACTACTCAGACTTGAATAACACTATTTTGTCAAACTGTCAGATTAGCGTCTGTGCTTGCAGACTACTATACCATGCTATTCAATTTGGGATGCATTTCTGTAAGCACTAAAATGTCTGAATCATACAACTACTCAGACTTGAATACTAGTACTATTGCTACGCACGATATATGCGTAATTGTTTTGTCAAACTGGCAAATCAGAGTCTGTGTTTGAAGACTACTATGCCATCGTTTACTCGTAGAACGCGAATCGTGCACAGTAGATGCGAATACATGTACATTTCGTATGGGAAGTAGCAGAGAAATCACAAGTCCACGCGCATGCGCACATGGGGTATTTGCCCTCTCGAGTACGGAAAAAAAATTCGCATCCGCCGCTGCATATTAAATCGTAGATATAAGTTGTTGTTGTTGGTAGTAGTTTTATGGCGTTCATTCATAACTGGATATATACGCGATATCTTCAGTTATATAAGAAAATTGAGTTATCAGTAAAGAACACTGGAAATAACAAATTGTAATTGTAATAAATTAATCAGTATCGCAATTTATTAGGAGTTTCTAGATGGTTTACAACTTCGTATTTCTGCTTTTTTGTCTTCATACGTTTTATCTGGAAGCCCGGTTTCGATTGCATAGAAATCTAGCTTTGCATATTGGGTTTTATCATAGAATTCGATGATAATGATCAATTGTATTGGATAACAAATTTATCAAGATCTGAATTTTATACATTAATATTTCAAAGAAATACAAGGCAAAACTAATGTGAAATATGAATATATTTTTGTTTAAAGGACGTGGGGAATCAACATTTCCCATTTCTTAGAAGTTTCAATTTTGTTGTGTCTACCTAATATTGATGACCACATGTGGCATGTTTTGTATTAAAAACAATATAAACATTCGCAAAGCGTTCTTTTTTAAACTAATTTCGTTATCCCCATCCTTATCTTTAAGTCAATCCAATAGTTTCAGGGTTTCATCTTCATCTTTCTACTCGTCTTTAATTGGTAGTCAACATTGTCTTACTATAGATAGTCATTGTAGCGAGTATTTAACTGTTAAGTCCGGGGTGCCACAAGGGTCAATTCTGGGCCCATTGATTTGTGTTTGTACATTAATGATATTAATAATTAAACATTTAATAATAATTCCAAAATATCACTTTATGCTGACGATACTGTCATTTTTAATAATTCTAATGATTTTTCTAAAGTTCAAGAAAATTTACATAATGACTTTGATTTAATATTTAAATGGTTTGGTAAAGATGTATATACACCCTCAAAAAAATATGGTTATGTCCTTTTGATCAAAAAGAAAGTTGAAGAACAATCGTCTCTCAATTAAATCAATTGGATAAAAACTTACAGTGTGTCGAAACAATGAAATACTAGTTATACTTGACTCACAACTTGCATGGTCTGAACATATAAAATATATAAGTACTAAGATATCTCGTTCTATAGAATGTATTCGTCGTATAAAACGCCAAATACCCCATGAAACTCTTGTAAACCTCTATTTTGCATTAATTTTACCACATATCGACTATTGTTGTACTGCTTGGGGAAACTGCTTAAAGACAAATTTATCGAAGCTGCAAAAGTTACAAAAAAGATTTGCGAGATTGATTTTAAATAAGGAGTACGACACACCACAATGTACGCTTCTTACGACTTTAAACTGGCAATCGGTCGAACAAAGATTAAAATATCACTACTGTTTGTTAGCTTTTAAAATTATAAATGTCATAGCCCCAACTTATTTAAAATCACTTATCAATTATCGCATCTCAACTACTGTACCCGCTATTCATTGAATTCTCTTCTTGACATCCCATACCCGAAAACCGAATTCTAAAAAGATAATTCTCGTATAAAGCAAGCACCCTATTTAATAAACTTCCTCCCTCAATTCAATCAACCAAATTAATTCAAATATTTAAGCGCGGATGCCAATTGGCAAAGCATTTATTATAGTAGAATCTCCGTTCTTATTTCCCTCTACCGGTATAAGCAGTTTTCTTATGTTATTATGTATGTACTCTATATTATGTCAAACATGTAAATGTTCAGTTTTTATGAATGTTATATTGTTATGTATTCCTTGTATTTTGTATATCACAAACTTGTTATGTCGTTCTAGAGAGCGTAATTGGAAAGCAGTTCTGTTAAAGTGAATGTATACCCACCCTCTATTTCAAATAAAACTTGAATAAATAAATAAATACAAATAAATACATCACTTTTCGTAAGAGTGAGAAAACGGTTTTACTTTAACAGTGCTAAATCCCTTCATTTTTTTTCTTTTTGACTATACAATAGATGCAGAGACATAAATCCGCTGTTACCCTGAGAGACACGTTCCTACTTCTCTGCACTTCATTCGTCATTGGTGAGAGTTAGAATGAATTTCGTCTTTTTTAAAATTAATTAGGAGCATACTCGCCGGCTAGATCAGTTACCTTGGGGGCAAAAGTCCAATTTGAGGGTTTTGAGACATTTGATATTGTTTTCAATATGTTGAAAAAATATTCTGCTGAAAAACAGTTGTACCATATTTCAAAAAAGCCGCTATGCATGTATATGTAATATTGAACAGTTTGAAGATTACCTTTTAACATAACCACAATTTTACCCGGTTTGAAAGAGAATTTCTCTACAAAATGATACTACATTTGTTAGGCTTGATTATAGTTTGAATAACAATGGAGAGCCAAAAATGTGATTTTCCCCAAATTTTCACCATAATATGAATGCATGTTTCTCTACGTTTCATGAATTATCTTCAATAATTTCTTTTTAGAAAACTGCCTAAACATATGTTCAATATGATATCAAAATTATCTTTTAAATGTTATAGCGCTCTAAACTTAGTATGCTGATATCAGTTAACATGGCATTTATGGGTAAAAATACGTCAACCCCTAAAGTATTGCAACAACAGGTTTACCAAAGGTTTCCGGTAACGTTTGAAATCTGGAACAACATACTAAAATTTTAAGAAACATACCTAGGTATCGGGGGTCGAAGAATCCATCATACCACATACAATGTGTTATGGCCACCAAAATATCTGTAAATTCAACATGGCATCCAAAATGGCCACCATTCTCCTAAAGATGACCGGAAGTGAGTTAAAGTTGGCAGTAAAACTGTCATTTGCAAGATTAAATGTATGTTTAAGAGGTCAGGATACTCTAGTGTGCTTTAAATGATCATAAAAGGTACAATTCCACTTGCTATAGCCTTATACTCAAAACAATTTCAAAGATGGCATCCGTTTTGTAATCCGAGATGGCCGACGAAAACTGAAATTAGCCATAAATCGTGACATATCCATATAAGAGATTGTTGTATCTATACCTAGGTTTCGGGGTCGACAAATCAATTTTGACTGTTTAAAATGTGTAGTAGCCGCCAGAAAACCCGGTAACTCATGATGGCGTCCACAATTTATTGTAGCGAGTATCGTAACATAACCGGATTCAGTTTACTATTTACAAGACAGTTTTCAAGTGCAAAGTACATTTTAAGTGTAAAAATATTCATTGATGCACGAAAAAGTATGTTATAGCCTTTTATAGAGCAATGTATCCAAGACGGCTGTGCTGCCATTGTGCAATTCAAAGTTGTTGCCAACGCATTTTTATTTGCTATCCATTAGGTATCCCATCAATAAATATAATGTTAGTGTCTTTTCATTGGTTTCGGGATTTAAAACTCTATTAAAACAAGATCAAGTTGATATGTGTCAAGAATGATGGGCAGGAAAGCTGGAAAAATGTTTAAGAACGGCTGACAAATTTAAATGATTGAAAGTGAGTAACATTTTTATTTTACCAAATAATGAGGATAATTATATTTGTTAGGTGTAAGTGTATTTTAGCGTTAAAGGTGTACATTGTAGGTTTTGTTAAGATATTCAATACTGTTTTCAAATGTGCAGTCCATCTTGGAGGGCAGAATGGGGGAAAAATGTATATCACATTTCATCTAAGGCTAGAATGTCGACCTCAGTGACACATAATGTCTTGCATTCATGCCAGCAGCCAAATTATAGAGCACAGTAGCAACCATATTTAAAACATTACTGTCTCGCGTAAAACTATGTGATTCTTTTTGTATATCAATGAAAATCCATAACTCGAAAATACATTTTGTTTAATCTTCACAACGTCTTACTGTTCAAAAGAGAATCAAAATCTGGTTATGTAAATTATTTATTTGCTAAATTGGAAATGCACCATCATGGATTTCCAGGTTTTTTGGTGGCCATACCACTCTTGAACGTCATTTTGAAAATAACCACTTTCCGGGGGTCCGATTTTCTTAGAGTTTGTGCCTGCTTTCAAGAACTACCGGAAACCGTTGAGAAACCTGTTGTTCATCCTAACACCGTTTACCACATAATATCACCCATAGCAACCATCACATCCAGATGCCACTCTGACAAAATGACGTCTCCTACAAATTATCATTATTTACTTCACCCTTAAAAACTTCATATTAAAAAACATGCTAGTGTGCGGACCTTGGAAGGCTCCTGGGCTAGAATAAGGACTTTTAGATTTGCACGTCGACATAGTTGACTGCTACGTGATGACGTCATTTTAAGGCACCGCGCATGCGTCACGTCGTCTCCGTCGTCGACTATCAGAATCGAGAACGCGTCCACTTTGATTTTCCCGTCGTCCTAAATCTACAGCGCCGTGCACTTGTTTTCACATAGTCGTGACGTCATTTCAAGCCTCAAGATGAATGATAAAAAATTCAGAGATATAATTTTGTCTTTGAGTAACAACAGCTTTCACGAAACTGAGGTAGATATAGGTAGATTAAAATTCTTTTGTCTTGAAATGTGAAAGTTTGATTGGTATGTTATAGCACCCTTAGAAAGGTTTATACACTGTTAAAACAAGTATTAAAAAAATGCGGGTTAAAAAATTGTTGATTAAAAAACGCTCAACAATGGTTAAAAATGTAGTGTTGATTAAAATTTACTTTTAATCTTGCGTTGGTTAAAAACAGTGTTGATCAAAATTATTCCTTTTAACCTATGTTGGTTAAGTCTAAGTCGTTTGCAAAAATTGTAACCCAGCATGGATTAAAAACAAAATTCCGACAGTAATGATAGCCCCCTTCCGGTTAAATTTTAATCAATGTTGATTAAAGTACTGGTCACGTGACCTAACAGAACGATATCGAAGCGCGTAGCTAGCGATCGCTCGACATACAAATAAAGTACATGCAAAGTACATGCAGTTTACGCGTGCGACAAAATTAACAATGGAGGTTGTCGCGAGGACGCTAAGGAAATGGGGGTTTGGACGGTCTTATCTCCGTGTTTTCAGGTAAGAAATTATTTTAATATTATCATCATCAATTCTAAGATTGTAAGGAAGAAGTGAAATAAGGTTCTTGCTCAAATCAAAAACGATTTGTGTCCCCTAGGCTGTACGTAGCTCCCGACGTAGCTCAACCAATAAGTAACATTTTACTTGCACCGTGCACCTGGCTAATAACGTAAGCACACACACACTCATCAGTCTGCAAGAATCTTCAACCGTGAAGGAGGCAGACCCAATTAAAGAAGGAGAAGTGTGGGCCTATTACGGATCACCTACCCAAATTGCATGCATGAAAAATAATCTTATTTTTTAAATCTAATTGTATCTAATTGTTTAAAACAATTAAATATAAAATAAGATGTCATCATAAAGTGAAACGTCTTCATGCATGCAATTTGGGTAGGTCATCCGTTACACTTACTGGCTGAGCTACAACCTACGGGCCGGGACACAAAGCGTTTTTAATTTGAGCAAGAACCTTATTTTACTTCTTCCTTCCAATCTTAGCATTGATGATAATCATATTAAACAATTTCTTACCTGCAAACACTAGGATAAGACCTCCAAACACCCGTAAGTTTAACCAACAGGGGTTATAACTGTAACCAACAACCCACTAAAGTTTAACCAACATCGTGTGAATCAAAAAAGAATTAACCTACAATGGTTACAATTTTAACCAACGACCCAAGTAAGTTTAACCAACAACATGTGAATCAGCCCCAAACAAAGCATAAATAACCAACAAAAGATTAAAGTTTTAATCAACAAATGGTTAAAGTTTAATCAACACCATTTTAACCAACATTGAGCAAATTTTTTTAACCAATAATTGATTAAAAATTTTAATCAACCACAGGTTAAATTTTAATCAACAGGCTGTTGGTTAAAGTTTAACCAACGATTGTGTGATTCACCTGGTAATCCGTGGTTGATTAAAATTTTAACCAACTTGATTAAAAATTGTAATACTTGTTCTAACAGTGTAGCTAGTGGCAATGGCAGTGTGCATAAGCTTCGTCTCCGCACCGTGTACCGCCCAGCCGGCTGGTGACGTGACAGTACGCGCGGAATTTCCTTTGAAATTTGGCGCGCCGTTCATGACTTCATCATGCTGACTTCCTGTCGACGTATATCCTCGAGTAAAATCTAAAAGATCATATCTGTAGTCAACAGGGGCAGTTGACTACGCTGACACGCATGATCAGTGGACGTTCACGCCGTTTCCGTCCACTCAATCTAAAAGTCCCTAACGACTCCTCCTATACACCGCACCCATATTTCGCATCCCCTCTTTTCATATTCAATTAAACACCTTCGACTCAACGCATGCCAGATAGCAATTAGTGTTCCCACGTATTGCCGTATAAACAACATTTGCCAGCTATACGATGTAACGCTGGCAAATACATGTTGCAATTGTTTTTGGTCAAACTCTATTCTGACCCCACTAAGTATTGTATCTCATATCTTGTTTGGTTTAAGTCTTTAATTTAGGTGATCGTGGTAGTAAAGAAAGGTAGGGAGGTAGAATCATGATTGTTTGAGAGATGGTTCCCTTACTAGGGAGCCGGAACGTACCTGTCAAAAACAAAACTACATGTTATGTCGTAATTCGAATGAAGACACGACAGGTAGTTAAATGTTTTTGGACCGGTTCCTGATCCACCCTCTTTCTGCTTCCCCATGTTTGGCCAAACTGATGACATGTGTCCCCATCACTTCTTCGCTACCCCTCCCGGACCAGTGACAAAAGACGAGTTTGAATAGGGGGTGGCGGCACGGGGGAACTTCCGTAACAAATGCAAAAATGTGGAGTGTGGAGGGGAGAAGAATGAGAGTGTGTGTGTGTGTGTGAGAGAGAGAGAGGGGGGGGGAGAGAGAGGGAGAGAGAGGGGAGAGAAAGAGAGAGTGAGTGAGTGAGAAAAAGAGAGAAAGAGCAGAAGATGCGTATTCTAGTGGTCTGCGAACATAATTATTCAGGTTGAACTCCGTTGAACGAAAGTAATGAGATTACATTTTTGTATTGTATTCTTTGTTGTTTCCTTGCGATCTTGTTTTTTGTGTGTATACATGTCAACTTTACATTTTGTGTATTTAATTACTTATTGATATTCTGTATATGTGTACGTGTTTCAGCTCACGCGCGGGGGTCTACAAACATGGCCGATGAAGTGTTGCATACGGAGGATAATCATTGCCAGCCGATTCTTGTCAATGGTAAATTGATGCCTATAGTGCCAGAATACATGCCCTCGTTTCCCGTCGCCTTGAAGGGTATTAAACACCATTTCGTTTGCAAGTTAGCTGGTGAGTTTTAGGTTTATAGTGATGATCGTATGATATGTCAGTCCAACTTGTAGATTGATTTTAACTCATCGAAGGGTAGGCATTGGAAAATTATGATTCTTGAACAATAATGATAACTATACAATTTAGAACCTATCAACTACTAACATGTATGCATGCGTTAGAAAATTGAGATCTTTCTGAGATCATAGAGGAGTCAATGTCGAAATATTTTCAGACTTAGAAATATGCAATAGTATATAAAGGATAGGTGTTAAGAATCATGATCTTTTCACACATGCCCTCTAAGGAAGTGAGTGATTTTAGTGCAAATGGAAATTGTCAAAGATTTTCCAAGGTATTGCCGCCGAAAGCATGGAAGGCCCATTAATATAAGTATGTACGAGTACGTTTAAGCACCCCCCCCCCCCACCTTCCTTCGTTCCTCGCTTACCACCATCTCCATCCCCATATCATATTGCTTTAAGAATCAACTACTACACAACATGCCACAACGAAGTACACAACGGAATCCACCACGTCACATCCTACCACTACTACTCGTAAGAAAACTTCATTTACACTATGTCTCTCTCTCTCTTTCTCTCTAGGAATTAAATAGCATGTGATGATTTATCCAGTGAGATTTGTAAATTTGTTGTAAATATGGTTTTTAATTTATTTGCTCCCAGGGTGTTTCATCAGGTGTATATATCATAATATTTCTTCTTCAGAATCAACTTCTACACAAGACACAACAGCGATGTCTTCGACGGAAGCCACCACCACACACCCTACTACAACGCCTCGTAAGGAAACTTCATTTACACCACCTCCCCCCCCCCCCCCCCCCCCCTCTCTCTCTTTCTCTTTCCGTCTCTCTCTCTCTCTCTCTCTCTCTCTCTCTCTAATCTCTCCCTCTCTCCCCCTCTCTCTCTCCCTCTCTCTCTCTCTCATCTCTCTCCCTCCCTCTCTTTCTCTCTCCCTCTCTCTTTCTCTCTCCTCTCTTCTCTCTCCTCTCTCCTCTCCTTCTCTCCCTCCCTCTCTTGGCGCATTTATACTGCCAAATACCTCATTTCCTAAAATTGCGATGTTTCGCGCACACGTTTACACTTGTGTTGAAACATCACCGACTGAAAAGCTCAGTGATGTTTTTGCGTGTTTCAGATGGTAATGCGCATGCGCGGCACTCCCATGCAAAAACTGTTATTATTCTTATTATATTCTTTATCTTTTTTTTCTCTGTCTTTCCATATGTTATTCTTTGTTTCTTCCTTCTTTTACCTTCTTTTATGTTATTCTTTGTTTTTTTCTTTTTATCACCTTCTCTTATGTTATTCTTTGTTTTTAAAATTATATCACTTTCTCTTTCTGTCTTTCCTTAAGTTATTCTTTGTTTCTTCCTTCTATCACCTTCTGTTATGTTATTCTTTGTTTTTTATCATTCTATCACTTTCTATAATGTTATTCTTTCTTTCTTCCTTCTTTTACTTTCTTTTATGTTATTCTTTGTTTTTAATTTTCTTTGTTTTTACTTTCTATCACCTTCTCTTATGTTATTCTTTGTTTTTATCCATTTTATCACTTTCGCTTTCTGTCTTTGCTTATGTTATTCTTTATTTCTTTCGTCTATCACTTATTCTTTTTGTCTTTACTTATGTTATTCTTTATTTCTTCCGTCTATCACTTTCTCTTTTTGTCTTTCCTTATGTTATTCTTTATTTCTTCCGTCTATCACTTTCTATTTCTGTCTTTCCTTATGTTATTATTTATTTCTTCCGTCTATCACTTTCTCTTTTTGTCTTTCCTTATGTTATTCTTTGTCTCTTCCTTCTATCACTTTCTCTTATGCTATTCTTTGTTTTTTAATCATTCTATCACTTTCTCTATCCGTCTTTCCTTATGATATTCTTTGTTTCTTCCTTCTATATCACTTTCTATCACTTTCTCTTTCTGTCTTTCCTTATGTTATTGCTAATGTTATTCTTTGTTTTTACTTTCTATCACCTTCTCTTATGTTATTCTTTGTTTTTATCCATTTTATCACTTTCTCTGTCTGTCTTTCCTTATGTTATTTTTTATTTCTTCCTTCTATCACTTTCTCTTTTTGTCTTTCCTTGTTATTCTTTGTCTCTTCATTCTATCACTTTCTCTTATATTATTCTTTATTTTTTAATCATTCTTTCACTTTCTCTATCCGTCTTTCCTTATGTTATTCTTTGTTTCTTCCTTCTATATCACTTTCTATCACTTTTTCTTTCTGTCTTTCCTTATGTTATTGCTTATGTTATTCTTTGTTTCTTTCTTCTATCACCTTCTCTTATGTTATTCTTTTTTTTTTTTTTATCATTCTATCACTTTCTCTTTCTGTCTTTCCTTATGCTATTCTTTGTTTCTTCCTTCTATATCACTTTCTATCACTTTCTCTTTCTGTCTTTCCTTATGTTATTGCTTATGTTATTCTTTGTTTCTTTCTTCTATCACCTTCTCTTAATATGTTATTCTTTGTTGTTTTATCATTCTATCACTTTCTCTTTCTGTCTTTCCTTATGTTATTCTTTTTTTCTTCTTCTATCACCTTCTCTATTCTTTGTATTTATCGTTCCATCATTTTCTTCAAGGACGACATCTAGCCTCGCTCCTAAATTCACGTGACCTAGCTAACATCGCGATGTTACAACTGCGAGCGTATGGCAAGCCGTTTTATCATTTAAACATATTTCTTGATATCAAGAAATCATTTCTTGATATCACGAAATCGAATTCTTGATATCACGAATTCAATTCTTGATATCAAGAATTCAATTCTTGATATCACGAATACGCTTTCTTGATATCACGAATTCATTTCTTGATATCGAGAAGTCGAATTCGTGATATCAAGAATTGAATTCTTGATATCAAGAAATGATTTTACGTTGTGAACCAATGGTAATTCTTGATATCAAGAAATCAATTCTTGATATCAAGAATTCGATTACTTGATATCAAGAATTCATTTCTTGATATCTAAACTTCATTTCTTGATATCAAGAATTCGAATTCTTGATATCAATAATTCATTTCTTGATATCATGAATTCATTTCTTGATATCAAGAATTCATTTCTTGATATCAAGAATTCGAATTCTTGATATCAAGAAATGATTTTACGTTGTAAAGCAATGGTAATTCTTGATATCAAGAATTCGATTTCTTGATATCAAGAATTCATTTCTTGATATCAAGAAATATGTTTAAATGATAAAACGGCTTGCCATACGAGCGTTTATACTTGCCAAACACGCCAAAACATGCCAAAAGATCACACTTTGTTTTGGAATGTTTCGGGCTTGGCATTTCTGCCGGTAAAGCGTAGTTGCCCTTGGTAACATCGCGGTCAGGCTCCGGTTTGGCATTTTTTTTGGCGTGTTTGGAATACAGTGTAGATGCAGCACCCTCTCTCCCTCTTTCTTTCGTTCTCTCCAACCACGCTCACCCTTTTTTATGCCTCCGCTACAAAGTAGCTTGGGGCTTTTTGTTTTCGTCTGTACGTCCCGTTCTCGTGATCGCGTTATCTCAAGAACGGATTGATGGATTCCCGCCAAACTTGGGTCATGTATGTATCTTGCAGAGCCCACGAACTGATTAGATTTGGGGGTCACAAGGTCGAAGGTCACATGGCTCATTATATATGCAAATATAGCTCGTGATTACATTATCATTAGAACCGATTAACGGATTACCATCAAACTCAAGAAATGTATGTATCTTGCAGAGCCAATGAACTGATTAGATTTTGAGGTCATGAGGTTAAAGTTCAGAGGTCATGGGGCTCATTACGTATGCTAAATAAGCTTGTGATCGTGTTATCTCAAGATTGGATTGATGGATTCACGCCAAACCTGGGTCATTAATGTATTTTGCAGAGCCAATGAACTGATTAGATTTTTTGGGTCTCGAGATCAAAGGTCAAAGGTCACATGGTTCATTATATATGCAAATATAGCTCGTGATTACATTATCATTAGAACCGATTAACGGATTACCACCAAACTCAAGAAAGGTATGTATTTTGCAGAGCCAATGAACTGATTAGATTTTGAGGTCATGAGGTTAAAGTTCAGAGGTCATGGGGCTCATTACGTATGCTAAATAAGCTTGTGATCGTGTTATCTCAAGATTGGATTGATGGATTCGCGCCAAACCTGGGTCATTAATGTATTTTGCAGAGCCAATGAACTGATTAGATTTTTTGGGTCACGAGATCAAAGGTCAAAGGTCACATGGTTCATTATGTATGCTAAAATAGCTTGTGATCGTGTTATCTCAAGATTGGATTGATGGATTCACGCCAAACCTGGGTCATGTATGTATCTTGCAGAGCCAATGAACTGATTAGATTTGGGGTCACAAGGTCAAAGGTAACATGGCTCATTATGTATGCAAAAATAGCTCGTGATTACATTATCTTTATAACCGATTGACGGATTACCATCAAACTCAAGAATTGTATGTATCTTGCAGGGCCAATAAACTGATTAGATTTTGGGGTCATGAGGTTAAAGTTCAAAGGTCATGGGGCTCATTACGTATGCAAAAATAGCTTGTGAACATATCAATAGAACCGACGGACGGATTACTATCAAACTCAAGACGTGTATGTATCTTGCAGAACCAACGAAATGATTAGATTTGAGGGTCATGAGGTAAAAGATCAAAGGGTCATACCTTATATATGCAAAATAGCCTGTAATCACGATATTCTGAGAACCTGTAAATGGATTACAATCAAACTTGAATTTGAAAAATTGCTTATGTTTTGGTTTGTAAACTCGCTCACTGGCGGAGGCATTATTTTTGACTTCGCGCAGTCGAAGATCCATCTAGTTATTACCATTTTCTACATTTCTTCATTCACCCTCACTCTCTGTCTCTGTCTCTGTCTTTTCTTTCTCTCTTGATTTCTATGTTATATGAATTCTCACTTCCCTTTCTCTCTTCAAATTTCTTTCGTCGTCTCTCCATGCTTCTCTCTTTCGATTTCATGTTCACGTGGATACAATATCCTACAACGTGAAGCATCTTCTTGTTCTAGGCAACCGCTCAGGTGTCAAAAGCTAGGAATTGAATATCATGTGATGATTTTGTCCAGTAAACTTGTCAAATTTGGGTAAATATGAATTCAAATCCATTTCTACCCTCAGATTGTATAATCTGGTGTATATATCATATTTCTTTTTCAGAATCAACTACAACACAAGATACCACAACGATGTCTACGACGGAATCCACCACCTCACACCCTACAACAACTACTCGTAAGAAAACTTCAGTAAATGATTTGTTCCCTGCAACCGCTGAGGCGCTTAAAACCGCTGAGGCGTTTAAATATAATCTGATGATTTGTCCTGTAACATTCTCATTAAATTGCGAGAGTTCTCTATTTTGCCGTTTCTTATTCAATTTTCCAAACCGGCTTAGTGGACTAATTAAAAAGAAGAAGAATGATTCTCATATGAGGTATGAGTTGATAATCGTTGGTAGCTTGGTTATTATCAACACAAATCCCAAACATAGTTTCATAATATATATGCTAAGTATCCAAATTGCACAATCAACATTTAATTATCATGGTATTCATATTATCTTTACAGACCTAAAATATACTATGCAAAATATGTATTTATGTAGGAAAACACCTCTGGTAAATATTTTCTTTTGCCAAAGAACTTGATCAGCTACCCACCATTATTCTCTCGTTTTCATTTCTCACAATTACTTATTGCTTCATCTTCTTTTAGTAGAGCCATTTATTGCCCACTATGTCAACGTAACGCTGTACTACTTGCTTTCTAGTCATATCCTCAAAGTACTTTGGGCCCGAAATTTTCACGCTTAAAGGTACAATGTCCCATTTCCAGGCCCAAAAAATGAAAAGGTTAAATTCCAACGGCATTTAAAAGACGATACTAATTTAGAACTCTCCTCAAAATGAAAGGGCTTGAAAATGGCTTGTATTGGGAAAAGAACGACCATTAGTTGTCGAATCGACTTAAGTGATTGCAATCACCTAAGTAATAGTCTGATTTTCAGACCCTTTTACAGAATGGTCGGACGTTTTATGCTGCACAAAAGATTCAATCAGTTTAGTGTTGTCCATTACAAATACAAGTAGTGGGTTATTGATGTAGACAAATGCTCATGTACCTGTTACAGCTCATTTTATGTATGTTATTACCAAAGAAAAAAAATGTCAATCAGTCACTCAATAGTGTCTGACAGTGAAGTCTAGAAGGTTAACGGGTATCCTTGCATAATTTGAATTCTAGGACACTGCTAATGTTTACATTTCACAGATAGGACATACATGACATATTCATAATTCCTGCCAAGTTTATACAGAATTTCATGTTGGCTGCGAACGGGGCATATAGTATCTTTAAGGAATAAATGTAATAGGTCTCAAACTAGATTATATTCCTTGGAGCGAATAGTAACTTTGTATCACATTGTAATATTCGCTATATACAAGAACAGCATATCATTATTATCTCTATGTACATGCTTCAAGTATATTATAGACAAGCTTCTATAAACGATTTTGTGGCGATAAATTAGTTGTTTACAATTTGAATTACACTTTATTTAAAATTTCTTTTTTTTTCTTGCTTGAGGTTTATCAAATCTGGTTGTAATGAAAAGAAGCGCATATTGCCCCAATATCGAATAATCCTGTGTTTATATCACCTTTCATTATCCAGAAACAACTACTACACAAGACACCACATCGATGTCTACGACGGACTCAACTACCTCACGTCCTACCACAACTACTCGTAAGAAAACTACAGTAATAATGATAATAATAATATAGAATTTGTATATAGCGCTTAATACAAATGTCTCTAAGCGCTTTACAAATATACTATTACCCCGGTCATTGAATTCAGTGCTTGCCCGCACACAATATGTGCACAATCTCCACTCCCTGGGGAGCATTCCAGCCAGGCGTTACATGACGCTCAAAAACTGTTTGACCAACAATGACGGTCGCATCCTACCGGGTACCCAATTAACACCTGGGTGGAGAGTAGCAAGTGCAGATTAATATCTTGCCAAAGGATATTAGTGCCGTGTCGGGATTCGAACCCTCGACCTTCGCATCTCCAAGTCAGCGCCTTAAACCACTCGACCACGACACTCCCACTCGACCTCGACACCCCTCTCTCTCTCTCTCTCTCTCTCTCACTCTCTCTCTCTCTCTCTATCTCTCTCCCTCCCTCTCTCTCTCAATCTGTCTTTCACTCAGTACAAACATTTATTTGATATATTTCTTTTTCCTTACATTCGTTTTTTTTCTTCCAACGCTTTCTTTGAAAGAGGCTATCATCTTTTTTTTTTTTTTTTTCAAACTGTTTGTAGTTGCTGCTGTTGCTGTTTTTTTTTAATTGTTTGCTTTGTTTTCAGAATATTTCATCACGTTATCCATGAAATGAATAGGCTTTGTTTCTTTAACAAAAGTGAAAGCATGTAAATCTTTTCGACATGTTCCCCACGAATCCAACGATAGGTACAACTCTCCTGTTTTAGTTTTTTTGTAATGGCATGTTTCTATACTATATACTTTCGGATTACACGTACGCGAAAATCAGTCCAAAGTTTACTGGCATAAACCTAATACAAAAAGCAAATAGATAATAGAATATTCTTTACCCTATTTTTATTTTGTACAAGAATTGTTGTCAAATCACAATTTTAAAGTAGGTATTTCTATACGGCCATCTTTAACAAAATTGTACAAGGAGATAAATATTGCGTCGTCAATTTCGCTAGTCAGATTGTTCGATAATCATAACACTTTGTAGGTAAGTCATAGTCCTAAAACTTAGCTCTATTTAACGAAAACCATGCATAGAAGGAGAAAAGTCACCTTCTGTGGATATATATATATATATATCCACATTCTGGAATTACTCACCTCAAAACCTGCATAACACAAATTCACAAAGTTTACGAACCTCAAAAATCAGTCCATTGTAGTACATGTAGCATAGAAAATAATTCGATCCCTCTGTGACACAGACTAGTTTTATAATCGAGAAGTGGCATATACTGCCTACGATTTGTTAAAGGAATAGTTGAGTGTTGGTCAATACTCACATTAGCGAACGAAACTATGATCTAAACATAAAAAACATACAATAAATGTCTAAGAATGCATCATTGAAGATATAAATCCGAAATATTACATTAGAGTGAATTTATATGCAAAAAACCTGTTCGACTGCAAATGATTTTATTTATCAAAAATTTTACTTTCGAGGCGTGTTCAGTGTAATTGTATAGCGCCACCTCTCGGTCAAGCGGCAGCACACCGTGAATTTTCGCCAAGACGACGATCGGATATGGGCGCGCGTGCAAGTAATATCCGAACCATGTCTATAGCGCGCTGACTGATTTATATTGTACACATTATGGTATGCGAGGCCTGCACATAATTGCATGGTCTGTGGTACTGGTAGCGCTATTGTTTTTGAGCGCGATATGCGAATACTGTATGTGTATGTAGTGCGAGTACGCTCGACCTAGTAGTGTATGTGTATGTATTGTACGTCGTATGACCCAGTTGATTACTTCTACAGTGTAAAGAAAGTGGCTTACTCTATCAACCAATATGTGAGACAACGCAAGGGCAATTTTGTATTTCGTTTGTAGGAACAAAGCTGTGGAATGATCTCCCAGATGAAATTAGATTAAAAACATCGAGGTTATCTGTCCACCTACCTTCTATGTAAATGACGTGGGCCTTCGTTTTTCCTTTTATATTACTTGTCTTCCTTTTATAATATGTGAAGAGTTTCATTCCAAAAGGAGCCAAATCCACTTTGGGTACTTCTGAGTAAATTGCCTTTTTTATTTCTCCACTTTCCCTTTAGCCATGTATACCTTCATGTTGTTATATATGTTAAAGGTGTCACCCTGCATGGACCTGATTATCTGCCAATAATGATAAGAAAAAATCTTCCCTTCGGCTTTTCTGATGTTTACTAAATTTTTTGATTTTTGATTTTCGTGGATTTAGCTCCTTTTGGAATGAAACATGTTATTGTACCTAAAAAATAAAAATAAATCATATTTTCTCAATAAAGTCACTGAAATTTTATTCAAATTTAGCAGCAAACCTTTCCTTTTAAATAATAATAGTGAAATCACACATAAATATAACCTTTCGAAAAGAAAGTAAACAACATTATTACAGTTTCATTCCAAAAGGAGCTAAATCCATTCAATTCCAAAAGAAGCTAAATCCATGTTTCATTCAAAAAGGAATTACTAAATCCACATTTTTTTTTTGGCACATATCGCACGACAACCAAATGCCCTAAGATGTTGATACCCACTTTGATAGAAAAATAAGGTTTTACAAAATGGAAAAATACTAGAAGAGAAAAGGTAAGAAAGAGTAAAGACGGATTGAGGACGGTAAACCCCAAACAAGAGACTCAAAAGATCTACCCCAGAATCCTCTCACCGGCACCAGAGTTGCCTAGGCCAATGGTGGCCGAGAAGATTGCGCAATGTACCGCGCCGGTCTGGCAGGAAGGTGCCAATTGCGGTGAGGGGTTTTCATGGACCAGTAGATCTGAGATTATATTATCCAAAAAAAAAGAGATGAATATGAATTGACAAATAGTACCAAAAATAGAAGAAAAAAAAAAGAAATAAAGTGAAAGGCGTAAATATTCTAAAAAAGAATGAAACGCCGATAATACCAAACAACAACAACAACACAAAATCTAAAAATTTGATAGAAATCAGAAATAACTGGTGGATTTTTTGTCTTATCATATGTTATAGGTCCAGAGCGACACCTTTAACATATATAACAACATGAAGGTACATGGCTAAAGGGAAAGTGGAGAAATAAAAAGAAATAAATTAAAAAAAATATTAAAAATTGTTGTATCAGTATACCATAATGAATAACAGTAGTGAATTAATTTAACATCTTACTTGATTCATACTTGTCCATAATGCAGTGTTTTTCAGTATTCTTATTTTGGTACTGCATGCAATTGTAAAGTTTTAAAAAAAAAGTGATTGTCACTTCTTGTAAATAAGTTGTGTTCTACAGTGCCTGTGTATTGCATGACCTACGTCAGTACGTGATAACTTGTAAATGTGTAAAGACATAAGATTTTAATATAATTATAGTAATGCTAAAATGAAGATACATAACATATTTTTATGGTGTACATTGAAAGCTTTATTCGGCCATAACTAACAGTTAAATTTACACAACATTATTGAGATGAATACAAATTATAATTGCTGTACTGAAGGCAATATTTAAACGTGATGTTGATTTCAACCATTGCATACAAACAGATCATGTGTATCAAAAAAGGCACATTTTTATTTAGCATCTATCGCTATGACAACTTTAACCGTCGTCATTAAGAAGGAGCAATATACTTTATTTGTATACCACCATGTCTTGTTACTTATTAGTTACTGCTTATTTATATACATCTTATCTTGTGTCTTTCATAAAAACTTGACATACTCTATAGGCAATGTGTAGATAAGTTTACCAAAGAAAAGTATCTATAACAGTAATGTTTCTACGCGCTTGACAAATATACTATTACCCCGGTCATTTGATTCAGTGCTTGCCCGCACACAATGTTTTGACTAGTACGTGATCATACAAATTTTGCCGAGAAACTGCCTACTAATTGATATATTTGGTAAATTATTATATCTATTTGGACTTGATAGATATAACGCATGTGTCGCGCACTTGTGTGTAGTCCCATATACATCTTTCTGTGTACAGTGCTTGTAACTTTACCAAGACTGGGCCAATTTTTTTATCATTTCGATGATTTTAGAACCTTGCAGTACACACCAAGACTTATATGCTAGATGATCAACCTTTTCTGATCGATTCCACAACAATCCTTTCACAATGCAGTCGCATGACCATAACTGGTTTTATCTTTTAAGTTTCACATCTTACTTTATATATAAATGCTTTAAAAATTGTCTGAGTGATTCTTTTCCTTAATGTGTACGAGTATACATGTATACATACTCCATATCGATCTCAAATCCTGAATCATATCAGTTTCAGCACAAAATTAAGTATAGTTAGGTACATATATGTCTTTCATCTTCCCTAATGCTCGACTATGAATATCACCTCAAGTGATTAACATCCAACATAAGGTTTTTCAAAAAAATAGCACAGACATTTCAAAACTGGTAATGTCCTATACGCACACAAAAGACAATTCTGCGTTGTGTGTACTGAGTTTCATATGAATCGATCAAACTACTTCCAATAGTTTGCTCACATACTTATTTTACACACTGCACATGCATTGAGTTTTATACTGTTATTATAATGCCTCATCAAAGATACCAAAACTATAAAATTGCTAAAACTTGGAAAGAATATGCTCCACAAGATTATTAAAACAAAATTGTATTCTTTGTGCAAAGCTTGGTTACCATGGAGGTACCTTAACAGACAGACACAACAAATGTGTCTTGCACACCCTCGGGTCAATCGGTATACCAAGTTTTATTACAATTTGCAAAAAAATTGGAAAAAATTTGACCCAGTTTTTTACAATAGACCAACAGAAAGACTCGCCTGCCCAACTGTATCCTTATTCCTTTATACACCCTTTCAAACTACAAAGTAGTTACAGGCAGCATATCTCTTGATGGTATAACCTTGAACCGCAATACTTTGGCGTTGAGCTGATTCACGTTCATTGATTCAAATGATGCATGAAACCAACTGTTTTGCTGTCTTGTGATCATT